CCCTTGTATTGCATGTCCTGGAATTGCCCAAATTGGAATTTTACAATTTAATTTATAATAATGCTTCTTCCAAACTCGCAATAATGCACTCCTTAAAATATGAGCTTTAAAAACTTGATCAACTTTCTTGTCAAGAAACAAATAAGCATGCCATCCATAAAATAAGTCCCATCCTTCAAGAATCAATATATCTCTATTAATTAAATTAATTTAGCTCTCTTATAATTCTTAAGAGATAACAACATAAGATTTAGAAATGTATATTCTGAATTTCTTTTTCTTTTTCTTTAGGTTTAGGATTATTGGTGAAGCTACACGTAAGTGTATTCTGAAAGACGGCAAGGTTGACTGGAATAGCGCATTGCCACATTGCGAACGTAAGAAGAGATTTTGCTTTAAACTCATTAAAGTTTATGCCATTATTGTTTGGTGCAGCTTCCCAAAAGTTGCAGTGTAATGTCTAGGCTAAGATACAAGGGAGAAAAATTTAAGGCAGATGAGGATTGACCACTCGCTTATCTAGCATTCAAGTTATGATAGATTTTTAAAAAGGTACCTATGATCTGTCCTTGAATTGACAAGTGCTATACACAGAACCTCAAACATTTCAGGCACTTGGCAATCCACTGTTATGAGTGGTGTTGTGTGGTTATGTGACATTTTCCAGTAGAAAATGGCAAAAACAACAACAACCCCTGCTTATTGGATATACTGGATTGTTCCCTTAACAATCGTATGAATCAATTAGCCTGATTTAACACTGGTAACAACAGTTGTAAAATTGAGTCAGGTTACACAGAGACCTTCTTAGCAACAGCTATGACTTTTACCCAAACCTCTGGCCAATTCTGATTGTTAAGCAAGGTCTGTAGAAATAAATCTCCTTGAATAATGTTGTTTAACTAAAGAGTGCAATGAAATCTCCACAAGTTTCTTTATATAACAACTTATTGCTATTCCCAAGAATTGGAAGCAAATTTCTAGCAAGAATGCTAGCGCTTTCTTGCTAAGATTAGAAGATAAATTCCTCAACCAAAACTGCCAGATCATATTCTACATTTTTTATACTTCTTCACACTAATTATCATTCATTCCCATTGCAGTAACTTCCCAATATCTCAAAAATAAGTATCTCTCAATCCTGCCAATGCACTGAAAATGGCATCAATCATAAGGACATTAGCATAATCCCTTTTACAGCTATGGCCTTTGACTGCAACAATGCCTGGATGACAAAAACACACCCATGAACAGGGCAGTCAGAATGGTTTTATTTTTATGTATTTATTTATTAAATGTCTATGCCGCTCATTTTACTAATCCAGTGACTTGGGGGAGGGGAGGAGCTTACAATATAATAAATAGTTTAAAAATGCTGTGATACAATTTATCCTCTGCTACACATGAAGTAAATATTTTGCTCTCAGCTGGTGAAAGGGAACCCTTTCCCTGAATGTTTATTTACTATAGCCCTTTGAATGAAACAACCAGAATATTCTTCCAGTGTCAAAGTATGGCTGTAATTCTAATTAAAAGGTGAATTCAAAGAAATCATTTTCTCCCTCAGACATCCCTTGTAAGCGTCCTAACAATATTCTCAATGGACAATATGATCCTGACCCTAAAGACGAATATTACATTGGATCAGTAGTAATCTATCACTGCAAGGCTGGTTTCTCCCTCATTGGAAATTCAATGATCACATGCATAACTGCAGAAGATGGCCTAAATGGAAACTGGAATTTCCCTGTCCCTGAATGTAAACATAAGGAAAAATAGAAGTGTCTTTAAACTCTAATTAGCTAAATTGCTTTTTTAGTTGTTGGTTGTAAATAAAATTCTTGCAGAAAGCAAATCATTATATAATCTCTGAAGCTCTGTGGTCCCTGCATGAGGGGGGAATCTAAAAAATAACAACGGGGACAGTGGCATGAAACTATGATGCAGCTGTTGAAATGGTTTTGTGCAGTCCTCGATGTGCCCATGTTTTACCTCACCTGTGGGAGCTGCATTGGTTGTCAATTTGCTTCTGAGTGCAATTCAAAGTACTGGTTGTCAGCTTTAACGCCTTTCATGGCTTGGCACCAGGTTATCTGAGGGACTGTCTCTTGCTGTTCGCATCCACCTGACCCACTGGAGCAGGGAGGGAATGTTGTAGGTCCCGTCCCCTAAGGAGGTTCATCTGTCAGGACCCAGAAGAAGAGCCTTCTCTGTCATGGCTCCCACCATTTGGAACATCGTCCCTGCAGAAATTAGACTGGCCCCCACTTTGAAAGTCTTTCATAAGGCCCTGAAGACTTGGTTTTGCCAGCCAGCCTGAAGAACCCAGAGCATGATGGAGCCCATTAAATGTGTTGTTGCGGGGGGGGAGTTTTAAGTTTATATAGCTGCCTACTCGCTCACGTGACTCTAGGCAGCTTACAAACAATATATGTATATGTATATGTATATGTATATGTATATGTATATGTATATGTATATGTATATGTATATGTATATGTATATGTATATGTATATGTAAATGTGTATATATGTGTATATATATATTTGTTTTCGTAGATTTTCACGGGTACAGGTATGCAGGTCTTGGCGTATTCGGGTCTCTTCCCGTGTGTGATTGAGAGTATCTTGGTGATGTTTCGACGAGGTCCCACTCGTCATCTTCAGGCTGGGGTCTTCGGCTTCGTGCCTGTGTGAGCTCGCACAGGCACGAAGCCGAAGACCCCAGCCTGAAGATGACAAGTGGGACGTCGTCGAAACATTGCCAAGATACTCTCAATCTTACACGGGAAGAGACCCGAATACGCCAAGACCTGCATATATATATAACATGCAGACAGCCCAGGTTCGAATCTCAGAAGGGTATGTCTGGTTGAAAAGAACTAAAAAGTTTGAAATGGCTATTCCAGTTCTCCCTTAATTCTTTGTTAGGAATCCAAATTTTGAAAAACATATATATATGTATATATATATATGTATATATGTGTATATGTGTGTGTGTGTGTGTATCATATGCATATGCATATGTATATGTATATATATTCTGTGTTTTTATTGTTTGTAAGCTGCCTAGAGTCACGTGAGCAAGTAGGCAGCTATATAAATTTTCTAAATAAATAAATAAATGCAAATAAAATATATTATAGTAGTATGTAGTATATAGTAGAACTGTAACTGTAATTCTGCTATAATTTAAAAGGCTAATTCAAAGAAATGATCCTGTCCCTCAGATATCCATTGTTCTCATCTTGATAGAATTGCTTATATACCCCTTTTAGCGAAGGGATAGTCTTGTTTTTTTTTATTTTTAGCCCCTAGGTTGTTGCTCTGAGCTGGATGATTCAAAAACAGTGGGAGACATGATTCTCTGGGTCAGAAGAGGGGGAAGCAAATGCTAATTATATATCCTTTTTAGCCAAGAGCAGCTCTTGCTTCTTTTTTTATTGTTTTTAGCCCTCGAGGCTGTTATTTTGAGCTGGATTCCTTTTCTCTTTTCAGAGGTCAAATGTGATCAACCAGAAGTGGAAAATGGGAAAATAACTAATTTACCTAAGCCTTCATATACCTATAATGAGGCTATCAGCATTGAATGCAATTCTGGCTACTCTGCTGTGGGAAGCCTCCATATTAAATGTGGGGCTAACAGTAGGTGGGTTCCTGCCACCCCCAAATGTGTCAAAGGTAACTATTTTACGGTTTTACAGGAGAGTTGGTTGACATTTACTATACAACATTCTGCCTGACTAATCTGAGTCATCGTTTTCTGTTTTCTCCAGTTACACTCCCCCCTACTCAATCAAGTACAGTTAACGGTGAGTTAAAATGTCACAGAACCATTAATGAGGTTTGGGTGTTGAGCTGCTTCAATTAAGTTAGTAGAAATATTTCTGTACCTACAGAAGTCTCCATACAAAAGGAGCCTACTTTCTAGTCTTTCTTATATAGAGAAGCTTGCAGAGGGAATGAATAGGGTATCCTGAAAGAAAGCTTTATTTGGCTGCCATACCAAATAATTCTAGATGATAACTTACACATGTAGGTCCCAAACAGTTTTTCAAAATACATTAGCATTTGGTAGGCTAACAGTATTTCCTAGCAAATGTTTTCTGTTCACCCTCCAAAAGAAGTTTGAAGTTTTTGGGACTGCTGTATTTATGATCCTATATTGAATATCCTTATTTATTAATTATATTTTTATCCCTCCTTTATTAATAATAGTTTAATAATAGTTTTCACTTGTACACAGCTTTTGCAGTGAAAATTGCCTTTTTATGCATCATATAAGTCTATTGTCTGTAATATGTTTTTACATGTTATTTTATCTATTATTATTTTTAGAAATATAAAAGGAATATTACAGCTTGTATTTGTAACCTAATATGGGTGTTCCCTAGGTGGAAACATTTTTTCCTCTTCTTTGAGTTTAATATTGATAACTCATCACAGAATTTTTTTTATTTTTTATTTTGCTATATCACAGATTTTCATTAAAAGGTAGGGCTTTTGTTTTAGTTAGAAATCATTTAATTCGCTCTCACTTGCTCAGAGTTAAAATATTTTCATAATGATTTTATTAAAAGTTTAGCTAGAACATTAAAAGATAATATGAACTAAAAAAGAAAAAAGAAAGGAAAAAGGTGCAAGAAAGTAACTATATATTTCTTTATATATTGCTAAAAATAATTCCTTTTCACCCTTATGGTCTGTATGTTTTCACAATGAATTTTATTTTATCAACATTTTCTGTCAAATTACAGAAAAACCAAATACAACTTCAAAAGATTATGCAGGTAAGACTAAAATAGTATGAGGTAAGCTACTGCACTTGTACCAGCAAGATGGTTTCTTTTTAAATAGTGAAACTGTGGCAGTTTGTAATAAAAGACTTGGGAAAGAAAGAAAGAAAATGGCATTTTCTTCAATTCAACAACACTTGTATGGAAACAATTGTACAATTTTTGTATCCTTCCAAGCAACATAGACACAACAAAGTCCATTTTTTCATATTCAGCACCATATTTCTATCTGTTGTGCAAAATGGCTTGTCCAAAATTAGATCAATTTAGCCAAATTTAGCCAATTTAGCCCCCCCCAAAAAAGTAACCTTCAGATCAAAGCTTTCAATAGTACTGGTTGTAATGTGATGTTGCTCCTAGTATTTGTCCAGTTTTGTTTCAGGGACTCTTTTTTGTGCACTGTACACATTTTACTTCACATATTGAAATTCACAATCTAGCACTTTACTCACCACACTACACTGGCTCTCTATTATTTAATAACAAATGATAATGATATTTTAAATAAACCAGAAAGAGAAAGCATACGTTGATTCCAATGAGGCTCAAAAGTTTAGCTCATTTCTCTTCCCCTTTTTTTCTGTTTTAGAATGTAACAAAACTACAGCACTTGGTAAGTAATTATATGATGAGATATTTCAAAATGTAGCTAGTGCTATTCTGTTTTCATGAATGATGAAAATTTAATTTCTTATTGTTACCATTTGTTCATAATCCATACACGGGAGCTTGGCACGATGTATTTTGACTGCCCAAACTCATCCAATGAGTTCTATAGACAAGTGAGCTCTTAAACTTTTGTTTTT